AAATGTCTTCTATACACTACAGAAATGAGCTAATGGATTTGGCACTATTTTTAATATATTGTTCAGAAGAACCTATCCAACGATAGAACGCATTACAATATATTGTTGCGTCAGCGAGGTCACGTGGCTAGTATCACGCCACTTCTTTCTCGAACCTTCGTGAATTGTCGGGAGATTACTAGATATAGGGTAGTCTGGTATATATAAGATGGTCACAACGTGACGGGATCAATGTGTGTCGGTAGTGAGTAATTGAACTGCAGTCAGAAAGTATTGTTGAAGTTAACGTTCGTTGTTATAGCGTTTGTTATAGAGCGACTGTTGAAATTAAGTGTATCGGTAAACTTGTATTCGGAAAGAATAAACCAGTTTTATTTAAGAAAGGACTTGTGTCGCTAAAGTTTCGTCGGTACGAATTTACGGAAAATTAACTAACGAACCGAGACGTAACAATATTTTTTTTCATCTACAGGTATGTTTGTTTCTGAACTTATTATAATAATTCTTTGCAATCCTCAATAAGGGGGTCACAAGATACTTACAAATAAATATTATACCAAACAACAACCTTAAATTTTTTAATTTACTGTTCTTAGGAGGTAATTTTTAGGATTTTAATATGGAAATTTAGTGTATACGAAAGACTAATCATAAATTCGAAAAAGAATAAAAAAGAAGACAAGTTTATAAAACAGTGCGTAAGTGGTAAGTTTACAGACTTACAATACAAATTATCTGTTCGATTCATCGTAAGTACAGTATTTCTCTATAATAGATTTGTCAGTTTGTTTGTAATTAAGCACTAAGCTACAGAATTGGCTATCTGTGCTCTGCCCACCACGGATATCGAAACCCGGATTCTAGCGTTGTAAGTCCGCTGTGCCACTGGGGGGCAGATTTGTCAGATAACTGTGGTTAGCCCATGGCACTATCACAAAGAAATATATATTGATGATGTCAGAGAAACACGTAGCTTCAAGAAGTCTTGATACAAGATGATAAAACCCCTATAACCCGAGTGCTTTCGAAAAGTGAACCTTTCTTCTTCAGGGGCAAACTGGGAATCAGAAATATATATTAGGTAGAAATATTTATTTCTATCCTCCACAAAGGTGGCGCTAAAATAATTTTTAAGTTTCTTCTTCCACAAGCAGAAAAGTAGAACAGGTGCAGTGTATAATATATTTTCTACATAAATAATTATTGTAGTATGTTATCATATAGTTTATTAAAATAGCAACAAGAAGAACGTTTGCTTTAGGTTTTTATAATTATTTGTGAATTCAAAAGAATATTAAATACTGCTTCTCGTAATCATACTACTACTAGTACTAGTAAACTTAAATAGTATAATTCATTAATTGTATTTGTAATCGGTAAAACCTGAACTTGAACTGTTGAAGGTCGGTTGCCATAACTTATTGTATTACCAGAAATAGTAAGTATTAGACTGAGTATGTTAATACATGTTCAGGTCTAGTCTACTTTAATTTTAAACCGAGTCATAGGTTCAAACACTTGTAATGCGGTCAATGTAAGGCCACTATTTGTTGATGTTAAGTTCCCAAAATCAGACGAGACCGGGAAAATATTATCCTTAGTGATTATGCCATTATAATTAAATTTTTCAAATTCACGAATTTAGTGTTCTTCACAATGCTTCCAACAAAAGTACTTGTTTTATAAACACACACAAAAGAATGCTGTGAGGAAAGCCAACCACTAACAAATAGAAAATTGATGCCTAACAAAAAGCATTCATAAACTAATTAATAAAAAAAATTATGAAAGACAGAAACAGACATGTAGACACCAACAAACTATTATCACTAAGATGACGCACTACATGCGCAGTACAAAATAATGACATAATAGTATTATTCCTTGCAAGAAAGGTATTGATGTGGGTGAGAAACAAACTGTTAACAAATAGTGGCCTAAATGCTAAGTCAGAATCAAAATACTTTCACCAGGGCTAAATCATTCACTGAATATTAATAACATAAATATCTTTAAAATGAGCAGATTAGCTGGTCAAACTTGTGGGATCAGTTTGATGGGAAGAGGAAGCTTTTTTGAATGGATGGTTTACATTAAAATATGGTAGGGGTTGACTTGTTTGCAAAGCCTGTTAACTCAACATTTACAAGTTTAAAGGCAGCTTCAGACTAAGACTAGACAGAGGTGAGGGCCTGGATAAATGAAATGCAAAAAAATGTAAGATGTAGAGAAAAGTTTAGTCAGAGACATTGCTAGGCACTGGCGCATGCCCCAATTCTATTAAACAGTGCCCTGAATCCCCCAGCTGGTGTCTTGAAAAATCAGAATAGAAAACCATGATCAATATACTAAAACACCAAATATTTCTGTGCCTATGGACCTGTGTCCTTAATTATTTATGTACCTAGTAATGCCTCTGAGTTTAGTACAGATGTAGTTATAAGATTGGAATAAATTTTTACCACTATAATGCCATAAGTATAAGAAATAAATTAGATTACTTTAGAGTACTAGTCAGAACAAAGGATTTTGATATAATGGGACTAACTGAAACATGGTTAAATGTAGTCAATTTTGTTGACACAAATGTTTTTGAAATAATAGAATTGTAGGTTATTTAATAGGGTTACAGTACTAAAAAGAGGAGAAAGAATGGCTTTATGTGTGAAGTGGGAGCTACATCCTTTTGAAATTAAGGATATCAAACATAATAGCAATAAGTTTCAATGTGTTTGGTTTTTGTTAATGAATGTAAGGTCAGGAAGCTTTTGTTTTACTCACCAGATAAAACTGGTGAAATTAATGAGAAACTATAGTGAGATTAATATTTCTGCTGTTAATGAGGTTATGCTTATGGAGGATTTTAATTTTTAGGCATATAGACTAGGAAATGCTAGAGCTAAACAATGAGGAAGATAGGTTTTTAGGAACTGTTTGGGATTGTTTTGTTCATAAAGGGTGGAGTTTATGATATGACTCTGTACAAAGTCTGGGCCAATCCAATAAACTTGGTAGATGTTAGTTATCCTTCCAGGGTGGTTGGAATTTAGAGTTATAGGTATACAAAGTGTGTAAGTGCTCATGAACATGTTTATATATTATTACTATCTACTTATAACTGCTGAATTTCTAGTCATTTTTCTTAAGACATACAATAAATAGAAAATATATACAAAAACAAGGATTTCTAGTATTTACTATGTTACAAAATTGACTTATACCTGTGTATCATAATTGCTAAGCTTTGCCGTAAGCCCCATTTATTCTCTCTTG